AAAGTTCGGGCACGAAGACACAGGCATGCCTTAATTATATGACGCATAGCTTATATCATATGTATATTGATGTCGGGCTTTACCAACAACCAGTTGGTTGTTGAGTAGAGAGATTAGCCAAGGTTTAGTGTGTTAGTAGAAGTAGCCAGTACTATAGCTATAGTAGTTAGTAGGTGGAAGATTAAAGTGTAAATGAATAGTTCTATTGGGAGAGCTAGAAGTAGAAATGTTTTCTAGTGTAGTAAACCATTTAGGTATTCTGCCTTTTGGAATTTTGTTTAGTTTGGGTAAAATGTGTTGCCATTCAAGTAAACAAAGATTGTTAGTTGTGGTAAGCTGATCAAGAAAAAGTAGATGATGGTGCCGAAGTTGTTTTTTAAAAGTAGGATATTGAGGGTGGGAAGCAAGAATTGATTCAAGTAAAGTTGAGCCTTCCTAGATTGTAAAAGGAATAGAGGTGTTAAGGTTGGGGCTGATTGTCTAGTTAATGTATTTGAGGAGCTGGATAATTTTAAAATTAGTAGTATTTTTATTAGGGCCTTCGATTATAGGATTGGAATAGGAGAAGATATTTATGGGAGACCACAAATTGTTTTGTAGTTGTTGGATGCGAATGAGTGTAGAAGTGCCGAGAAGATGGTTATTGTTGAGCCGTTTAATGAAGTTAGAAATATGTGAACATACTAATAAAACTTTCGATATAGTGAATTTAAAAAATTTTATTAATGGAACCGATCACTTAACTATAAATTAGCTCGGCTAAAAATTAGGCATTCGCATGCACAATAACAACTCACTCTCATTATAGTGAAGTTATCGGACTAAGAAAAAATCGCTATAGCTAAGAAAAAAATCTATGCCAAGAGAATTCTATATTGCAAGCTTTTTTTGAATTTCATTATAACAAGAATAAGAAATTGTATTACTGTACTACTGTACTGTAGTAAACTTATCAACTATGGTCTTAAGCCAATGAACATATGATATAAGCTATGCGTCATATAATTAAGGCATGCCTGTGTCTTCGTGCCCGAACTTTAATTATAACGAGAGTGACTTGTATATTGCGGTAAAGCCCGTAAATTTTTTATACAATGCAAAAATAAGATTGACCTCATGACTTCAATGAATTTAAGGGCTCTATATATATAATATAAAAATCTAAAAAATTATGTGCATGGCCAATATTCCGATTCTATATATATATTTTTGATTACTAATCATGGCACAACTAAGTGAAATTAATTAGCACTTACCTGGCGCTAGGTTACTGCATTATATATCTTTTAATCGTCACATTGTATATCCAAAATAAGATTTCCATCAATGCAGCAAAATTACTTTAAATTATTTAAATTATTTAGGAATGCTTTGTAAAATTCCTGAATATGGGCCTATTTAATTTCAGCTAACATTAATAAAAATTTTTCCGCTATTTTTAGTGCGTGTTCCAAATCATTTAAGCATTCGTTTTTCGTATTTTCCCGCTATTTTTAGTTAGTGTTCCAAATCATTTAAGCACTCGTTTTTCGTATTTTCTCTTTTTTTCCTCGTGTTGCACGTGTGCGTACGTACACCATTAAAAATGCTATAGTAACTATATACTTCGTAATATTCCATATTATCCGGTAGTTACTATTGATCATGTTACCCATATTAATACTATATCACAGTATATCAATATTTAACTATTTCCTTTTGCGATATATTAAAAGGCAACTACGGTATGCTACAATGGTTCTCGCGTCACCCAATGAAGTTTTCAATGAAAATGATCACGAGAACCGATAATCAGAAATTAAAACACTTTGCTGAATTTTTAAATTTATTTCATAGATTATTTCTTTTATTTTTATTTTTATTATGTATTGTATATTATGTATTATTATTTTTTTTATTTTTATTATGTATTATATATTATATATTATTTTTGTTTTTATTTTATTTTATTTTTGTTATTTATTATTTTATTTATTTATTTATTTATTTTGTTAATTAATGTCTTTAAAAAAAAAAAATACATTGATCAATGTCACAGTTAATTTAATGATGTCAATTATAACAAAGCAAAATGTAAAAATAAATAAGAGCCCACCTTTTTAATAAATTATCAATGAATTTGACACCTACCTGTCAAATGTTAAATACTCGGGCTTGTACATATATACATATACTATTATCGTCTTCCATATAATGTTAATTCTATTAATTTCATTCAATGCCACAAATAGTGTCATATATGATTTTCATTTAGCTTCATTGAATTTCTTAAAGTTTATGACGGACTTTAAAGAACCAGAAAATAATTATAAGAGAAGATCATTCATTACTAAGGACGGACTTCTCCAGAGAGATATTGTAATCATTAAATTTAATTAATCAATTCTATATACAGTATTTCAAAAAAAAAAAACTTTAAAAAGGGCGCGAATTTCTCTAACTTAAGACACGATATCGATATCGCGGAAATGTCGAAAAAAACACCAAATGCGTTTATTCTCTATCGAAGAGAAAAACAGTCGCAACTTCGCAAGAAGTACCCAAGAATGCCCCAAAGAAAACTGTCGGGGCTGGTTTCCAAAATGTGGAAGCGCGAGCTTCCATGCATCCGTGGGAGATACGAAAGCATCTCACTAATGCTTTCTATCACCAATAATAATCGAAATGCGGCGGCGCGGCAATCTGTAGGTCCTACAGATTTCGAAAATGGGTCTACCCATTTTTTCGTTTTCGAGAATCGTATAAATAATAAAGACTCTCTTCCTATCGAGGAACGAGAACAACCACTTTCCACTAGTGATGACGATGAATTTATTAATAGCATTTTTAATTTCGATCTATAATGCTATACCAACTTCGTCTTCACGATAACATTTTCGCTTTTCACGCACGTGCATGAGAAAAAACACAAACCCAAATATCTATTTCTACAATCTTCATATAAAAAGCGCTTCCCTATTAAGGTCAAATTATATATTAAGCAAAAAAATAAATTTTATGATTTCTCAATCTTCTAAATATTTCATGCATGATTTTAAGTTTGTTCCAAGCAATAGTTTTTTATTTGTTACTCTTAAGTGCTATAAGTAAATTTCATATTTTTAACATTCAAATAATTAAGCTGATTTGTTTAATATTTAATATGCAGTGTAAATTTGCTTAACGTTAACATAAAAACAAATATAAATACATATTTTCTAAATATATATAAGAATCTTTGACTAGATTGTAGAACTTTCTGTTTCAAAGTATATATCTATTAAATAAATTATTAACATTTTATCAAACCCTAAAAATATTATATTTTTAATAAAAATATGAGATTTGATATTAAGTTGCAAAAATTATATTAATTTCTATAGACTCTATAGGTGCGAAAATAGTGATAGATAAGGGACCAAATGATTTTCGGTCCTCGTTACTAATAGTCCGGTCCTGGTTCAATGATAAAAAGTAAAAATTACAGCTGTTTTCATAAATTCTGGGACACCCTAAAAAAATTTGCCGAAGTCTATTCGGCCGAATTCGATAAACTATTTATCTCGGTGCTATATAAATGCATAATACAAATGTAAATTTTTCAAACATATTCGTTGGAAAATAGTTAAAATAACTTAGAAGGCTTAAGTTAGAGTAATTGCTAAACGTTTGGGTATTAACAGGTCGAGTTCTCAAACAATTTCAAAGGTATGACTGTGTTGATGAATTACCATCACTTTAAAT